CTACTTGGAAGGCTGAGGTGGAAGGATTGCCTGAGCCCAGCAGGTCAACACTGGGGTGGCTGTGAGCATGCCACTGCACTCCAGCCTGGATGACAGAGTGAGACTCTAACTCAAAAAAATAAAAATAAAAATAAGGCCAGGTGCTGTGCTGTGGCTCATGCCTGTAATCCCAGCACTTTGGGAGGTGAAGGCGAGAGGCTTGCCTGAGATCAGGGGCTTGAGACCGGCCTGGGCAACATGGTGATCCCGCGTCTCTACAATGAGCCAAAAAATTAGCGGGGCATGGTGGCGCGTACCTGTGGTTCCAGGAACTTGGAAGGCTGAGGTGGAAGGACCACCTGAGCCCAGTAGGTCAAGGCTGTGGCGGCCGTGAGCACGCCACTGCACTCCAGTCTGGGTGACAGAGTGAGACTCCAACTCAAAGGGGGAAAAAAAATAATTTGCTTTCATATTCACTGTCTCCTTTGACCTTCGAAAGAGCCCTGAAGCTGTATCACTGTCATCATCATCTGAGAGTCTTAGAGAGAGAATGTGACTCGCTCAAGGTCATATCCAGCAAAGGCAGAGCTGGGAGTAGAGCCCTCCTGCAACTTTACCTATCAGGTGCTGCCCCTGGCACCCAGCTCTCTTTTATTTCCACCCCCCCCACCACACACACATGAACACCAGCGTCCTTACCCCACTCAGGGTCAGCCGGCTGCCTGTACTCCGCAGGTGCCTCTCAAGGCTGCTGAGCTGTAGGTCCTCCCAGCACACCCGCCATAGCTCTGAGGCCAGCTCCTTCTCCAACTGCATCTTCCTGGTGGTGAAGCCTGCATCTGAGCCCGTGTCTGGGACCCTCCCCAGAGCCCTGGGACCACTAAGAGGTGGAGAGGGGGATTCTACCCTTTGGGTTGAGAGCCAGGAGGCCTGGGTGCAAATTCTTCTTACTGGGGACCTTGGGGTAGTCAGCTCAATGTCCTCATTTGGAAATCGGGGGTTTCACTATCTATTTCACTCTTAACTGTTATAAGAATGGAAAGAAATGCTGAGTGTGGGCCGGGTTTGGTGGCTCAGCCTGTAATTCCAGCACTTTGGGAGGCCGAGGCGAGTGGACTGCCCGCCGGTTGGAGACCAGCCCGGGCAACTTGGTGAGACCTCGTCTCTACAATAAAATAAAAAATAGCCGAGTGTGGTAGCATGCGTCTGTAGTTCCAGGCTACTTGGAAGGCTGAGGCGGAAGTATTGCTGGAACACAGAAGGTCGACGCTGGAGTGGCCGTGAGTGTGCATGCCACTGCTCTCCAGCCTGGGTGAAGGAGTGAGACTCCAACTCAAAAAAAAAAAAAATGTTAGCTGGGCTCAGTGGCTCAGCCTGTAATCCTACGCCTTGGGAGGCTGAGGTGAGTGGATTGCCTGAGCCCGCGAGCTCGAGACCCGCCTGGGCAACTTGGTAAGACCTCATCTCTACAATAAATCAAAAATTAGCCGGGCGTGGTAGCGTGCGCCTTTAATTCCGGCTACTTGGAAGGCTGAGGCGGAAGGATTGCGGAGCCCGGCAGGTCGAGGCTGCGATGGCCAAGAGAAGCCATTGCACTCCAGTCGGGGCGACAGAGTGAGACTCCAACTCAAAAAAAAAAAATGTTGAATGTGGAAGGGCCTGGCATGTAGTGTATATTCAACCAGCTCCCTACTTTCCTTCTGGACTTTCATTCAGCCTCCTTTAGAATGTGGGAATGGGGCCTATTCAGCTCTCTGCTCCACGCTAGGCTGGACAGCTGCCACACAGCAGGGCCCATCATCCCTGCTCAACAAATGAGGCCCGATCCCAAAGGTTCTGAACCATTCCTTCCCGGAGCAGCAAGGGCACTGGTCCATAGGACAGAGCCCACACCTGTTGGCAATGACATCTCTCCCCAACTCTTCTGCTCCTTCTGTCTCTCTCCAAACCTTCCTGGCCACTCCTATCCCTCCTCCTCCTCTGCATTTCCTCCGCCTTCTTTCTTCTCTACGGTCCTAAAGCTTTTTAGTCTCTTTTCTCCCTATCTCCCTTGGCCTCCCCTGGCTGTCCCTTTACCCCTGCCCCCTTCCCTCTGGGTCCCTGCCACCTCCTCTGTTATTTGCTTTCCAGGTCCCCCAGCATTGCCCACCACCTGCATCCCACAGCTCACCTGTATACGAAGATGGAGACAATCAGGATGCCGAGCAGGGAGAGGCTGCCCACCAAAGCCAGCACCTCCAGAGCAGAAAAGTGGTCTGCAGGAGAGTCCAAATTGCAGCAAGAGAGATTTGGGTTAGACAGCAGGGGGAGGAACTTCTATTAGTCCATCAATGCTAAGTAGGATGGCAGATGAAGGAGAGAGTGGAAGGCAAGAATCTTTCTCCAGAAACCCTTGGGATGGGAGAGGAACACCTATGCAACTCTACTCAGGGGACCGATTGCAGCCCCTTCAAGATGGATGCCTGGAAGACAAGGGCCAGTCACCTTGGTTGCATGCCGGGTCCTCGTTGTCAAAGCCACATCTGGGGATGTCAGGAGGAGGGTACCCCAGAGGCCAGTTCAGCTTGCGCCCTGACACAGCCTCCAGCTCTTGGGAAGTCCCATTGTAGTTCAGTACAACCTATGGGAAAGCAGGGGTGTGGGCAGGGAGAGGCCTCCTGTCCAGTGGGGCAGTCCTACTTTCACCTGCCCCAGCTCTGCTCCCAGGGCCTCTATCTGGGCTGTGATGATTCACCAAGCCCCTGTTGTGACTGGATACGGAGAGACCTTAAACCCATGAGCACATTATTGAAGGATAAAACACTTGAACACTACTCAAGCCTCTACCATATAGAACATCATATAAAACACTTCTCAGGGAGTTTATAATCTTGGTTGAAGCACATAGAAAACAGACAAAGGGCTGGGTGTGATAGCTCACACCTGCAATCCCAGCACTTTGGAAGGCTGAAGCAGGACTGCTTAAGACCAGGAGTTCAAAACCAGCCCGGACAATCAGCGAGATCTTGTCCCTACAAAAATAAAAAAAATTCACAGGTCACAGGATCACCTGAGCCCAGGAGCTTGAGGTTGCAGTGAGCTGGAGCGTGCCATTGCATTCCAATCTTAGAGTAAGACTCCAACTCAGAAAAAAAAGAAAGAAAAAGAAAATCAAAAAGGTAGAGTTCACCTCAGTCTGCATTCCCAGACCTAATCCATGTCCCCCTCTTCCAGGAAGCCTTCCCTGGATGATCTGTTCCTTGGTGTCTTTGGCCTCAATGCCTTCCTGTCCCCACTTGCAGAGCTGTGTAATGTGCGGTTTTGTTGGCCCTGAGATGGCCCGTCTCTGCTGGAAGGCTGTACTGCCTGCCTACCTTAGGAACTCCCTGAGGGCAGTACTGAGCTCCCTCCTCAGGTGCGGGGTTCCCCAAGCTTGATGCCTGGGAGTCCCTCTCATTCTGGCTGCTCCCCCAGACTAGAACTTGGTCTGTTTTATCCAGGGCTCTCCTACATGTCCAGGTGTGGTAGTGTGACTACAGGATAAACAGGTGCCCTGGCAGGGCTGTGGGGGAAAGCAGAAGAGGGAAATGTAATTTCGAGTCACTGTGTTCTGGGCGCAGACACATACCCTGAAGGTACCAGTCTCAAGATCCATATCCCAGAGGGAAAAGTCCGTCTCCCGATCTCCATTGCTGTCAATGTTCAGGTATCCTGTCACACCTGAGGACATGAGGGAAGATGACCGTGTTTTGAGAGAATGAAATTCAGGGACACCTCATTTAATCTCTCCATCCCCTGATCTTCTCTGCCTTACCCTCCAAACATATGTATGTACAGAATGATGTTAAAAGGGCTCCTGCCAGGCACAGTGGCTCAAGCCTGTAATCCCAGCACTTTGGGAGGCCAAGGCAAGAGGACTGCCTGAGTCCAAGGGTTCAAGACCAGCCCGGGCAATTTGATGAGACTGCGTCTCTACTATAAATCAAAAAATTAGCTGGGCATGGTGGTGCATGCCTGTAGTTCCAACTATTGGGAAAGCTAAGATGGAAGGATCTCCTGAGCCCAGCAGGTCAAAGCTGTGTTGGCCATGAGTGTGCCTCTGCATTCCAGCCTGGGCAACAGAGTGAGACTCCAACTAAAAAAAAATTAAATAAATAAAATAAAAAGACTCCTGCTGGGTGCGGTAACTCCTGCCGGGTGTGGTGGCTCATGCCTGTAACCCCAGCACTTTGGGAAGCTGAGGTAAGAAGACTGCCTGAGCCCAGGAGTTCGAGATCAGCCTGGGCAACATATTTAGACCTCATCGCTACAATTTTTTTTTTTTTT